TGTATTAGAGAGGGGCATGTATTAGAGAGGTGGTATATATTAGAGAGGGGCATGTATAAGAGAGGTGGTGTATTAGAGAGGGGCATGTATTAGAGAGGTGGTTTATTAGAGAGGGAGTATTAGAGAGGTGGTATATATTAGAGAGGGGGTGGGGTGTATTAGAGAGGTGGTGTATTAGAGAGGGAGTATTAGAGAGGTGGATGTATTAGAGAGGGGGAAGTGGTGGTGTATTAGAGAGGTGGTTATTAGAGAGGAGTATTAGAGAGGTGGTGTATGCATTAGAGAGGGGTGTATTAGAGAGGTGGTATATATTAGAGAGGGGCATGTATAAGAGAGGTGGTGTATTAGAGAGGGGCATGTATTAGAAAGGTGGTGTATTAGAGAGGGAGTATTAGAGAGGTGATGTATTAGAGAGGTGGTGTATTAGAGAGGTGGTGCATTAGAGAGGGAGTATTAGAGAGGTGGTGTATTAGAGAGGGAGTATTAGAGAGGTGGTGTATTAGAGAGGGAGTATTAGAGAGGTGGTGTATTAGAGAGGGAGTATTAGAGAGTTGGTGTATGCATTAGAGAGGGGGAAGTGAATGAAAAATTCATCTGATGGTAAAATAAGATCTACAACATCAAATCTTGTTCAAACCTGGGCAACTCTGGAATCCAGGTTATTCATTATCATCAACATTATGGCAGCCGCGTGTTTGCTCTTGCATGGATATTCGTCAATATTATACGCCCTGATTAATTAAGAAAATAATTATATCATGTTTTTGCAACCATTACATTTGTTGAGTACTTTCTAGATGTATTATTAAAACCCATTGAGTGGCAGCAGTCTCCTCTCAACGAGTAAAATCATCTGGCGTTGGACAGAGCAAAATAATAAAGTAGGGTACATTGCCACTTAAAGGGTTAAGCTACAATGCTCCCAAACACACCCAACTTTATTGTTTTACTCTGTCTAATGCCAGATGATTTTATTTGTCAAGGAGAAAGCCTTGCAAACTAATGGTTTATTATATCACTCCTATTGAGTAGAATCGTCTGGCATTAGACAGAATAAACTCGTCACATACTTCATTTCCAAAGTTGGTTGAAAGCGGTACATATAAATATGTCCATATTCTCTCAACTCTTGGGCAAATTCTGGTGCAAGCTCAGCATGTGTTTCTGTGGGAAAATATCTCAATGCATTCTTTACAGCTAGCTGCAACGAAATATCACAAAAATGATTTTGAATAATGTCAACATGTTGGATATTGTACTATGGATGTCAGTTGGAACAGAGAATGTGACAATTAAAGTATATTATAGGATGGATACTTTTTCTTCTATAAAAGTCATTGACTGGTCTGTGGTTCAGAACCGAAGGGGTTCAAAACAATCAATAACAGAATATATTGCTGGTCAGGGGATGAATGGGGGTTGCCCTAAATGGGGGTTGCCTGTTTACCGAGACTATTGCTATACTATCCGACATCCCAAAAATCATGAAAATTTAGGGACGCACCTGACTTGGGGAGGGTTAATGAGAGGTTTCAGGGGGGAAGGGGGGGGGACATGGTGCATTTCTTCTCTGACTCTGAGCAATATATTTTCCCTTTGTATATATAACATGTATATCAAACATATTGTTAAAAAGTATCATATATTTTAAACAGTTATATTATTATTACTCTTACAATTTCCTCTGTCTTTGAAAGGTTTGTGTTACGTTTTGGTGCATGAGGGATGCTGCAGTCTCGAGTTTGTTTTGATGGAAGTGGTTTGAGCGGTAAACCAGAGCAGATATCTTTTAATGTCGCCATAAACACTAACATATACTCTGCATATACTCCAAATGTTTGAAAACCGTGTATTTAGTGCCGTATATTAAATTAAATTTATTATATAAAATTCAAATTATGTTTTGCTATCATACGTTTACGTTTACTAATTATTATAAGTGTTTATTTCAGGGAGGGGTACGTAGTTTAAATGAAAAATACAAAGAAAACAGGCAAAGTCTTCTATGCTATATGCCAATATTGACAATAAACATACACAAAATTGCTAAAATACTAAAGAACGCTATTCTTTATTCTAAAATTTATATAAAATTGGAGGTATGAGGGAGGGTTATAAATTTGTGGTATTACCCTTCCCCCGTTAAGTAAATATGTACAGGGGCGTCTTGGGGGTGTGCCTGGGTTGTACCATGGGATGTGATGGGATGGCTGTAGGCTGTACCGTCTCGTGTCATTAGGCACGTAAACACCTCCATAAAAGGTAATCAAAGTACTGCGTCTGTTAAAAGTATGAGAGTACACGTAAAATTCGAGGATAAATGTCTAGTTATTCCTTGTAAAGATGGCAAACAGTCTATAAAATGGTTGATTTCAGAAGCAGTGGAAAGATTTCGAAAGTTACGCAGTACAGAATCAACAGTCGGCTCACAGTTAGATGGCTTGTCAAATATGCCCAGTTGTTTATATTTGCCTAACGGAGGCGGCATGTTGTTCTTCAACGATGCCATCGAAGACGTATTAGAAAATGATGGGTTTGCTGAATTAAAAAGTAAAATAGAAAATGAAGGATTATGTATTTAACTATTTTTAATTGAAGATAATATAACATAGATTTATAAAAAAGAAGGACATTAGGACAAATAATAAACGTTTCTGTTAGAAAGACGTCAATATGACGTCAGTGGGAGGCGGGGGTTTGTTGGTATGACGTCTTTTCCTAGAATATATTAAATTATGCTAAATTTGTTTACATTTACAGAATCAAATGAACAGGGCCAGGATTTTAAGAAAGAAATGTATCCATATAATATGCTAGCATAAGGGTAGCCCGCGTGCAGGCCCAAGGGAACTGATATGCGGGCTAGCATAAGGGTGAACAAGAAAGTTCATTTCTCAAATTGTTTTCTCTAATTATAAATGCATTGCATGTGTGCATTAATTAGAATTGTAATGGCACCTGGTCATGTTTCTGGTCACCATGTGCAGCTGTGCACATTTTTTTTCAACTTATTATTACTCTAATAATTTATATAATTTTATAATTAAAACTAAAAAAAAATATATAAATTAAAAAAAATTATTCTTAATAATAATTAATAATAATTATTAATTATTATGAATAATTATTAATAATTTAATAATTATTAATAATAATAATTGTTATTGTTATTAATTTAATAAGCTCTAGATAAAACATGAGCAGCCGATCTTTATCTGATATAAAAACTCAAGCCGAAGGCAAGAGTTAATTTGTATATCAGACAAAGATCGGATGCGAATGTTTTATCGTGCTTAAAAAACGACCCATCTTATGAGTTCATTGGCGAAGTAATTTTAAAAATAAACATTGACTAAGCCGAGAAAATCAAAGCTGAAGTTTATGTAAATCAGGACAAATCTTTATGCGATTTACAAACTTAAACATTCATTTCTTTTGAATTTTTTCATGAATTATTAATGAGTTTTATAATTATTATTATAATATTTAATAATTATAATAACACTAGTAATATTTGTCACATTTTATTACAAATTTCACCTTAACTTCTCTGCAAAGAAATGACGGATGTCGGGCAAGTAAAATTCCACGTCTCAACACTCCATCAAAGGTAATTTAATATTTTGTGTGAGCATTTTGTTTTCTATGTAACATTTGAATGAATATACAAGACGTATACTCTTTGTCAATTATCATTTCGATACCTAGGTTTCTTTGGATGGTGATAGTTTAACAGTTCAGTTACTTGTTCAGCTTGGAACTGGTGAATGGAAAATACAGGTAGAATGGAATTCATAAAAGTACAAAGTCAAGAAGTTCGCATTCATTATCGTGTACACTTGTTGGGGACTAGGGATTTTTATTAAGAAGTTATTTTTGGACCACATAAAAATAGAAAGTGATCGTACTTTACTTTTGCCAAAAGTTGGGCAGGTGGTATATAAAAGATTTCAACTGGACTGCCACAAATGTCAAGTGACGCACCATTCACACTTTTTATGTGTCCACTTTTTTGATAAATTATTGTAATCTTTAAGATAACTCATGATGCTTTGCGCCATGTCAAGGAAAGTCGAGATTTGGTAGACAGAATCGTCAGTGAATCACGAGGTAGGGTATAAGGATCCTGTCACAGACCTTTATATATGGGCTTGAGTGGCACAGTCGTTAGAGAGAACGCTTTTTACCTCGGAGATTGTGGGTTCGATTCTTGCTCGTGGACAAATGACACTTTTGTGAAAAGAGAGGTCAACGCTCTACCAAAAATCGTGGGTGTTCTCTGGGCACTCCGGTTTCTTGGTATACCATGTTAACAGGGTGGTTTGGGATAAGCCCTAAACGACCGACCCTTCCACCGTAGTTGTGCTCCGTGTGATCAAACACAAGTCATAAAGCCGGTATTCCACTAGGCGGAATTTTGCGCGCGGAGCGGAATCTTTCTTTGTCTTTTCTAATTAGTTCCACCCGAGAAATCACAAGACAAAGAAAAATTCCGCTCCGCGCGCAAAATTCCGCGGTGGCTGCCAAAGGTGCCATTCGTAAATCTTCAGCGTGAAGTTGCACTACATCCTTCGTAATTCAGCTTAGCTCTCGGCTGCAAGTAAGGAAGATTAGCACACTCCCAACATTCTTACTAGACTAATAACCAGCGCGCTACAATCTCGCAAGCCAGGCTGTATTACGTCCGTGGTTCCGCTCCACGCCGTAACTACGTCATGCCTGACTTGCAAAGTTGTACCAGGGACAGGGTATGTTTTACAAACAGGACGCAGTTTGCAAGCAGGAACAACTTCCACCTATACATTGCGTACTTATTTTTACAGTTGTGTATGGAATCAATACTGGATTTGGGAAGTTCGCGCAAAAGGTTATCTCAGACGAGAAACTTGGGTATGTCTGGCTCCTCAGTGGTCTGGCTTTTAAGATACTTGTAAGATTGAGTAGTTGAAAAATGTGGTATAGAATTCCTTTCTGTTTCTGAAGAAATACAATTTATTCACACTAGCGCATTTATTCAAATTTAGTGAAACGATATTTATTGTTAAAATATTTTAGCGAGCTTCAAGAAAATTTAATAAGGTCTCATGCAGCTGGTGTAGGGAATCCGTTAACTCAAGAACAAACCAGGATGCTAATGGCTTTACGCATCAATGTACTCGCAAAGGGTTACAGGTAAGTTCTAATGCAGCTAAAGATGCTTATGTGATGTTACTCTGAGTGTATATCCACACCGGGCAGGCTTGAAAAATACGCCTGGCCACGGTGGGAATCGAACCTACGACCTTTGGAATACTAGCCCAGTCACATCACATAAGCATCTTATTCACCTGAGTACATTATACCAACACAGCAAATATCATATTAGATTACACCGATATCGAAGGAACTAGATTCAGTTCCGAAATATTACATACTCGAACCGATCTGACCGCGTAGCTCAGTTGGCAGAGCATTGGGCTAGTATTCCAAAGGTCGTAGGTTCGATTCCCACCGTGGCCAGGCGTATTTTTCAAGCCTGCCCGGTGTGGATATACACTCAGAGTAACATCACATAAGCATCTTATTCACCTGAGTACATTATACCAACACAGCAAATAGCAGCTAAAGATGTTTGCACATCAAAGTTATGATTGAACAGTTGAGTACTCTGATATGCATATGTATCAGGTCCAGTTATCGACTAATTTTTTATCTAGACAAGAAAGACGAAATCTATCATTATAGCTTAAAAGAGCATCCTAAAATTAGTAAAATTGCAAAGTTTGGTTGCAAGATGTTGTAAAATACGGAAAACTATAGCCCTGTGAAATTAGCAAATTTTGAGTATTTTAGTATTACGCGCGGAAAAATGCACCACTTTGGGCTCAAAAGTGCCTTTTCCCGCTCGTAATACTAAAATACTCAAATTTTGCTAATTTTGCTAACGTTTATCAAATTTATTCCTCTATATTGCAGTGGTATTTCACTGGAGAATTTAGAACGGATTGTGGAAGCTTTCAACGGTAATAACTATAACGTGTTTCACCATTGCAACTCGATGCAGTGATGTTGTAGTTTTGTTTTAATTTCTACTCTCTAGCCTCATGTCTGCCCTGGATTCCTGAACAAGGCACAGTGGGAGCGAGTGGTGATCTCGCGCCATTGGCGCACCTCGCGCTTGGCCTCATGGGAGAAGGGAAAATGTGGAGTCGTAAGAGTGGCTGGGCTGATGCTAAACTGGTTGGTTCAATTTGCTTGTACATATTGTTAAAGTCCAGAAAGTCTCGATATATGTTTTCATTATGCTCTTTGTTATAGGTGTTGGACGCGCATGGATTGAAGCCAATCGTACTTGGACCTAAAGAGGTGTTCAGAAGTTCCATATTTTTGAAAATACAATTATCGAACCTACTTTCGTGATCTGATAGATTAGTTTGATGTATTCGGGGGGGGCAATCAGTGAATACGGTTGTGTCCCTTGTGTCCTATTACAGTAATGCTCATCTGATTATTTTTAATTATTCAGATTCGGCAATTTAATTTTGTTTAGGGTTTAGCAATGATCAATGGGACACAGCTTATTACTGCAATTGGAACTGAAGGTATGTGAGTATATGAAACTTTGTCAGTTGTAGTTGTACATGGTCTCAAAATCAACAACATTCGAATTTTACTTCTGGACACCTCTCTGACACGGTCATCTCTCTAATATGGACACCTCTCTAATACGAACACCTCTCTAATACGGACATCTTTCTAATACAAACACCTCTCTGATACGGTGACTCTCTCATGTGGACACCTCTCTAATACGGACACCTCTCTAATACGGACACCTCTCTGATGTGGACACCTCTCTAATACGGACACCTCTCTGATGTGGACACCTCTCTAATACGGATACCTCTCTGATGTGGACACCTCTCTAATACGGATACCTCTCTGATGTGGACACCTCTCTAATACGGATACCTCTCTGATGTAGACACCTCTCTAATACGGGCACCTCTCTGATGTGGACACCTCTCTAATACGGATACCTCTCTGATGTGGACACCTCTCTAATACGGGCACCTCTCTGATGTGGACACCTCTCTAATACGGATACCTCTCTGATGTGGACACCTCTCTAATACGGATACCTCTCTGATGTGGACACCTCTCTAATACCGATACCTCTCTGATGTAGACACCTCTCTAATACGGGCACCTCTCTAATACGGGCACCTCTCTAATGCGGACACCTCTCTAATACGGATACCTCTCTGATGTGGACACCTCTCTAATACGGGCACCTCTCTGATGTGGACACCTCTCTAATACGGATACCTCTCTGATGTGGACACCTCTCTAATACGGACACCTCTCTGATGTAGACACCTCTCTAATACGGGCACCTCTCTGATGTAGACACCTCTCTAATACGGATACCTCTCTGATGTAGACACCTCTCTAATACGGGCACCTCTCTGATGTAGACACCTCTCTAATACGGATACCTCTCTGATGTGGACACCTCTCTAATACGGACACCTCTCTGATGTAGACACCTCTCTAATACGGGCACCTCTCTGATGTAGACACCTCTCTAATACGGATACCTCTCTGATGTAGACACCTCTCTAATACGGATACCTCTCTGATGTAGACACCTCTCTAATACGGGCACCTCTCTGATGTGGACACCTCTCTAATACGGATACCTCTCTGATGTGGACACCTCTCTAATACGGACACCTCTCTGATGTAGACACCTCTCTAATACGGGCACCTCTCTGATGTAGACACCTCTCTAATACGGGCACCTCTTTGATGTGGACACCTCTCTAATACGGATACCTCTCTGATGTAGACACCTCTCTAATACGGGCACCTCTCTGATGTAGACACCTCTCTAATACGGATACCTCTCTGATGTAGACACCTCTCTAATACGGGCACCTCTCTGATGTGGACACCTCTCTAATACGGATACCTCTCTGATGTGGACACCTCTCTAATACGGATACCTCTCTGATGTGGACACCTCTCTAATACCGATACCTCTCTGATGTAGACACCTCTCTAATACGGGCACCTCTCTAATACGGACACCTCTCTAATACGGATACCTCTCTGATGTGGACACCTCTCTAATACGGGCACCTCTCTGATGTGGACACCTCTCTAATACGGATACCTCTCTGATGTGGACACCTCTCTAATACGGGCACCTCTCTGATGTGGACACCTCTCTAATACGGATACCTCTCTGATGTGGACACCTCTCTAATACGGACACCTCTCTGATGTAGACACCTCTCTAATACGGGCACCTCTCTGATGTAGACACCTCTCTAATACGGATACCTCTCTGATGTAGACACCTCTCTAATACGGATACCTCTCTGATGTAGACACCTCTCTAATACGGGCACCTCTCTGATGTAGACACCTCTCTAATACGGGCACCTCTCTGATGTAGACACCTCTCTAATACGGACACCTCTCTGATGTAGACACCTCTCTAATACGGATACCTCTCTGATGTGGACACCTCTCTAATACGGATACCTCTCTGATGTGGACACCTCTCTAATACGGACACCTCTCTGATGTGGACACCTCTCTAATACGGGCACCTCTCTGATGTGGACACCTCTCTAATACGGATACCTCTCTGATGTGGACACCTCTCTAATACGGACACCTCTCTGATGTAGACACCTCTCTAATACCTCTCTGATGTAGACACCTCTCTAATACGGGCACCTCTCTGATGTGGACACCTCTCTAATACGGATACCTCTCTGATGTAGACACCTCTCTAATACGGGCACCTCTCTGATGTAGACACCTCTCTAATACGGATACCTCTCTGATATGAACCCCTCTAATATGGCGACTTTAGAGAGGATACCTCTCTGATGTAGACACCTCTCTAATACGGGCACCTCTCTGATGTGGACACCTCTCTAATACGGACACCTCTCTAATACGGGCACCTCTCTGATGTAGACACCTCTCTAATACGGATACCTTTCTGATGTAGACACCTCTCTAATACGGGCACCTCTCTGATGTGGACACCTCTCTAATATGGATACCTCTCTGATGTAGACACCTCTCTAATACGGACACCTCTCTGATGTAGACACCTCTCTAATACGGATACCTCTCTGATGTGGACACCTCTCTAATACGGACACCTCTCTGATGTAGACACCTCTCTAATACGGGCACCTCTCTGATGTAGACACCTCTCTAATACGGATACCTCTCTGATGTAGACACCTCTCTAATACGGATACCTCTCTGATGTAGACACCTCTCTAATACGGGCACCTCTCTGATGTGGACACCTCTCTAATATGGATACCTCTCTGATGTAGACACCTCTCTAATACGGACACCTCTCTGATGTAGACACCTCTCTAATACGGATACCTCTCTGATGTGGACACCTCTCTAATACGGATACCTCTCTGATGTGGACACCTCTCTAATACGGACACCTCTCTGATGTGGACACCTCTCTAATACGGACACCTCTCTGATGTGGACACCTCTCTAATACGGATACCTCTCTGATGTGGACACCTCTCTAATACGGATACCTCTCTGATGTGGACACCTCTCTAATACGGATACCTCTCTGATGTGGACACCTCTCTAATACGGACACCTCTTTGATGTGGACACCTCTCTAATACGGATACCTCTCTGATGTGGACACCTCTCTAATACGGATACCTCTCTGATGTGGACACCTCTCTAATACGGGCACCTCTCTGATGTGGACACCTCTCTAATACGGACACCTCTCTGATGTGGACACCTCTCTAATACGGACACCTCTCTGATGTGGACACCTCTCTAATACGGGCACCTCTCTGATGTAGACACCTCTCTAATACGGGCACCTCTCTGATGTGGACACCTCTCTAATACGGATACCTCTCTGATGTAGACACCTCTCTAATACGGGCACCTCTCTGATGTAGACACCTCTCTAATACGGATACCTCTCTGATGTAGACACCTCTCTAATACGGGCACCTCTCTGATGTGGACACCTCTCTAATACGGATACCTCTCTGATGTGGACACCTCTCTAATACCGATACCTCTCTGATGTAGACACCTCTCTAATACGGACACCTCTCTAATACGGACACCTCTCTAATACGGATACCTCTCTAATACGGACATCTCTCTAATACGGATACCTCTCTAATAC